AGTGAGAGGAGACGCCAGGTGTCATCATGTTTCTTGACAATAAAGTCACAGATCATCAAATAGAATGAAGTTGGTCAGCGTGAAATTCAGAGCACCACAGGTTCTCTTGACCCTTTCTGCTCCGATCATTCAACCCCCAGGGGAACACTGGGGCTACCCAGTGCTGAGCAGAACCCAACCTAAGTGCTACATGGCGTCACAACATTGCAGCAGCGTGGCTGAGCCCTACCTGAAGACACTGAGCTCTCAGCAGGTACCAGGGGCAGCTGAGTTGACATGGCAGCAGGCAGAACTGTAATAAAGAAAAATCTATCAACAGGAAGTTAAAGAAATCATCTCCATGGAAACTTAATTGAAACAAGCGCTTATAAGGATCACACAACAAGGAAAGTCAAAAGCTACTCTTTCAACTACTTGTCTGGTACTCTGAGAGGTCAGCAGGAAAGCACGACACAACATTTTTTATATATATGTCTTTAGATTTATTTATTTTTATTGCAGGTGCGATGACCTAGCAACAACAAAAAAAATTTTTTTTTTTTACCTGACAAAATGGTTGCTGCATTTTCTTCACCTGTTGGTACAAACAGATTGAAATAGTTATTACTACAAATTTTCCTTCACCAAGGAATCTTCAATGTGATGAGTCTGAAACATTAAAAATGTGAACTAGACCAAACTCCTAGTGAAATACGTCTCCTTGAACTTAACAGGATCTCAGAAGGGCTTGCTGACTTAATTGTTTTGAAGACACTCTAGCAATAGAAGCAGTTAGCCTGCTTGTAGCCTGGGAAAGCAGTAGAGGATGGCCCAAAGCCTTAGGACCCTGAACCTGCATGGGAGACCCAAAGAAGCTCCTGCCTCCTGGATTTGGATCAGCTCAGCTCTGGCTGTTGTGGCCAGTTGGGGAGTGAACCAACAGACAGAAGATCTTTCTCTCTGTATCTCCTTCTCTCTGTATATCTGCCTCCCCAATAAAAATAAATCTTCAAATAAGTAAATAAATAAATCTAAAAAAAAAAATAAGGGGAGGAGACTCGCATTGTGGTGCAGTGGGTTAAACCAACACCTATGATTCCAGTACCCCATACAAGTGCTAGTTCAAGTCCCTGCTGCTGCATTACTGGCCCAGCTCCCTGCTAATATGGCTGGCACAGCAGTGGAAGATGATTCAAGTGCTTGGGCCCCTGCTACTCACCTGGGAGACCTGGATGGGGCTCCAGGCTCTTTGCAGCCATTTGGGAAGCAGACAAACAGATATCTCTCTCTCCCTATCTCTCTCTCTCTCTCTCTCTCTCTCTCTCTTTTTTTTCTCTCTCTCTCTTTCTCTTCCTCTCTCTCTTTTCTCTCCAAGTCTCTTCCTCTGTGTATATAACTCTGCCGTTCAAATTAATAAATGTTTTAAAAGAGGCTGTAAATAGAAAAATTACCAATCATTAAACACAGCCCTTTGTAATTGCTGAGGCCAATTATTCCATTCATCTCTGGACCACCTGGGAATTAGAACGCTCCCTCCTTAAAGTGGTGTCTTCTGAAAGGAAACTGCTGCCTTTGTTCTAGGAACATCAAGTGTTTTAATGACTAATACTTTGATTTAAACAGCAGTTCTATAAAAGAGCCAGAAGGGCAGGGACCATCTTTGGCTCTGAGAGAAACAAGACGGCCAAAGTCCTTGTTCTTGCAAAACCCATGCTCAGGAGAGCTGGGTCAGGACACATAGAACCAGCAAGACTAGAAAAAGAATACAAACCTGTCTTAGAGGACAAGCAAGAGAAAGACAGTAGATTTGCCAAATGGGACCTGATTGAGCAGGAATCTGATCTGTACATTCTGGAATCCTCTAAGAAGGCAGGAAATGTCAGCTGAGACACAGATGCCGAGAGCCAGCTGCGGGAGAGGAGCTGCTGTGGGGTCCTTCACGGATCCTCTTTGTTGGTTTTTAAGGGCTGGAAAAGCCCAGTGTTGAATGTGGTGTAAGGTGAGGAATCTTTGCAAGGGTCAAAGCTCATATAGAGTCTAAAGGGCCATGTGGGGCTGGACTATCGCTCCAAAGACAATGCATAGCTAGCAGAGGGGCTGAGTACAGGGGAAACACTGCCCCTTCCTAGTGTGTCTGTCACAGGGATGGATGATGTGTGTGGTGGAGGAAGGAAGAGGGGAGGAGGGTAACTGTTCAGAAAGCCATTTCCACAGTCAGGATGAATGAGGACAGGTGTGAACGGTGACCACAGCAGTGGCCTTGGGAGGTGCTCATGGGCAGCAGGGACGGGAGGTATAGACAGAGTTTTCCACTGCTGCGTCTATCTATGTGAGTGAAGCAAGAGGAGAGGTTCACCGACTTTAGAAACTAACCGAACAGAAGCCACATGGTTGTCCTAAACATCAGCTCCACTAGAAAGTCAAGAGAGGCATGGTAACATCTACAGACCAGCAGCTGTGCCCCTTGCTGCCAGTATGGCTGTGGGCAAATGATTAAATTTTCCATGCCCCAGTTCCATTGTTGGTAAAATGAGAACTGCAGTAGGAGTTAGTTCATTCAGTTCTTGTGAAAATTAAGTGCAAAGTGCTTAGGATGAATTCGTCCATTAGAGCAGAGGTCAGGAAGCTAGGACCTGTGGTTCATATCCAGCCCGGGCACTGGATTGTTGGTGAAACACTGTGGGAACACAAACATGCCCGTTGTCTTGTGGACTGTGATTGCCTTCATGTGACAACGGCAGAATTTTATAAATATGACAGGTCATCCTGTCTGTGAAGTGTAAAATTTTTACTATGTGGTCCTATTACAGAAAAAGTTTCCTGGCTTCCAAGTCAGGAAATGAAAGAACTGGTGCTGTCCAAGTGAAGTGCCTGGAGGAGCTGGCCCTTGCTGTCCCTCCGTGGGCGTGAGTTCACTGACCCAGGGGGAATATATGGAAGAGCACAGGGGACTTGTCCACGGTCACACTGAACAAGAAGCACACCCCGAGGGAACCTGAACTGAGAGCTTCTGCCACCAACACCCATCGACTCCCCTCACCCCAATGCTCAGGTTTGGAGAGCACACAGATCTGTCTTCAACATTAACCCTCTTGGGTTTACCTGATGTGGGACACACTGGTATCCAATATACCAGAGCACCAATACAAGTTATATGTAGGATACAATCCATTCTCTTTCCCAGTCTGGCTCAGCAATTGCAATAAAAATTAACTTTGATTTTAAACCAGAGAGAACATTTGCTCCAAATGAGGAATGCTTGCACACATCCAGCAGGAAATTAATCCCTACCTAGGGGCACTCGTACTGACTCTTCAGCATTCTCTGTGAGGGAGGGGTTGGGAACGCAGAGGTTATCAGAACATGAAAGCTACAAGCGCCCTGGTCGCACCCCTTCTCCAGCCACCCTGAGCCCCTAGCGTGGGGATGAGCATACAAACAAGTCACGTGAACCACATGATTTGTCAAGATCTTCCCTTAGCATAGTGGTAGCAGTACGCCTTGACCAGTAGCTGTTGGGAACATGAAAACAGCAGCACTTGAAAGATAACTAAAACTCCCTATGATGGAAGGGAAAATAAAGGTAATACTGTGGAAGGAAGAAAATGGTCCCAACCACACTTTCAGCTAAATGGCAAGGTGAGCTTAATGGCCTGGGAATGCAGAAATGTAAGTAATGATCATCGAAATGTGGCCATCTGATCCCCCTCACCATTTATTCCTTTATCATCTTCCTGTTATCTGTTCAGGCAATTTCTAAAATGAAAACATCAGATCTATGAAACAAGCAAAAAAAAAAAAAAGCCATGAATGTACCTAATGCAGGCTTTAAAAGCTCAGTCTCTGTTAACACGCAGGAAAAGATCTGTTTCAGAAAAGGGTAGATATTTCCAGGCGTGCTTCAGTTAGAAATTAGTTTTAAAATAGCACATTATGACTCCTAGAAACAAAAATGTGTCTTTCATGAAATGCACAGCCATTTAGAAGCAGACTGTGCCTAAAGACACATGTCAGATCCAACTGTGGCTGTGCCCACCAAGCCACACCTTCTCCCAGGGGACAAAGCCGCATGGCACTGCAACACAGCTCCATGGAACCTTGTAGAAGAGACCACACTGCTGGAATTCTTAACCAAAACTCCAAGTAAATAAAAGAAAAACATAAAAGAGGAACAAAACCTAATTTTAAAAAACCCAACACACAGAAACACATCCCAACGACTGAAGAGCTGAAGTTGAGTTAGAAACTAATTAGCCCGGTTAGCGTCACGTAGTCTGGTTGAAGGCAATTGGAGACTTCACTGCTGTAGTCCTGTTCAACTAGTTCCTCTTTCCCTCCCTCAGCACACACATTGTTGTCCTTGGCTTTGCCACCAGGCCGAGAAGTAGCCACATATTTGGTGGATATTCATCTAAAGCAGTGGCTCCCCCAAGGGACATTCGCTGATGCTAGGAGACACTTTGGGGCATCACAGTCAGGGAGGGAGGATGCTACTATTATTTTCTTTTAGTAGATGGAAATCAGGAAGCTTTGAAATAGCTGTAAGGCACTGGACAGACCACCCACAACACAGAACAATCCAGCCCCAATGTCCAAAATACATGGCTGAGAACCCCGGGTCTAGACGTGCGGCAATCGTTATTGTCTGATCAAAGATGTGATTAGAGACACACAGCCTGACCTCCCAGTGAGCAGCAGGACTCTCAGTGCTACTCTGAGTTGTCACCTTGCTTTCTTTCCCCAGACTGCACACGACCAGTGGGAAACAGTTTGTCTCCTGGAGAAAAGTGGAGCATGCCTAGTGAACTAGTCACGTCTCTGTCCACTCCTGTCTTTTCTCCAGTCCTGGAAAGGAAACTACACATATCTGCCACTGTTTTTCTCTGTAATAAATCCACTTCAGCATCTCATGGTTAATAAATTCCTGAGCTCTCTAATCACCATGTTTCTTGACTCTGGGCTTGCCTAAGTGGTTCGAGTCCCACCTGCAGCTGGTGACAACAAGGCTGAAGAACACTCACCTGCACAGATGACACTGGCATCTTCCCCGGGGCCGCAGTTATGCAGGAGCCAGTCGGCGTGAAGACACTGTCCCAGGAAACTCTCGCCTCCACTGCATTCCACATCATCCAGCAGAAATTCCCCTCTGCCTTCTCCAAATCGGGCCTCACCGGGGGCGGCCAGGGCGCGCCCGCAGCTCAGCTGCCGACATACCACATGGGCTTCGCTCATGTCCCAGAGGTCATCACAAACCCTGCCCCAGTGGCCCTGGTAGAAAACTTCCACGCGACCAGAACATCGGCCTGACCCGTTCACCAGCTGCAACTGGGGCCAATCTTTCAGGGAAATACGAAAACATTGCATGTCAGCAGAAGGAACCAATCCTGCATCCACCCTTTTGTTTATCCATGTAGCAAGCGTTGATTTAGCACAGAGGGGATCACAATGGATAGCCCTGTGTTATAGTCAACAGTCTGGATTTGCACCTGCTGTTGCCCAGTTTAGAGCCTAGTTAGAGTCCGGAGGATGTGGGCATATCCATCTAAAAGTGGGTGCACATTTGCAAGTATGACAACCCTGAGAAGCTAAGGGAGAATGTTCCTAATATTTTGAGGGTACAAAAAGGGATGGTGGCAGAAAGATGTCTTTCCTAAGAAGTGACAATGGGGGACAAAGCCTTCCTCTGTGCAGTGGAGAAGCCAGAACAGCACAGGTTTCTGAGAGAGGTGAATGCACAGGGAGCTTTGGTTGGAATCATTTTGTTTGGCAGGATGCATATGATCAGAGACCTGCCTGTGACTTCAAAACTCGTGACCCACCCATCTGCATCACACAGAGATGGGAAGTCTTGACTTACCACTGGGAAACGGCATCAGGAACTCGGCGTCTGAGAGCAGAGAGAAAGAAGTGGGTGCTGTTGCTAAGCAAAGGGCCCATTGAGCCCACAAGCATCAGTGTGCGCACGAAGGCCCAGGCAGCTGCTATCCAGGGGATCCCATGATTGGGGGATGCACAAGGGAAGTGCTGGCCTTGGGTGAGGGAGCAGCTAATTCTGCATTTGGACAGCAGAGTCACATACAGATAGTTCTTATAACTAGATTAGTGTGGATCCACCTCTAGCCAGCAAGGGAAAGAGCTGATAGACGTGTTTCATTTTGTTTTTGAGAGGCAGAGAAAAAAGGGGAGAGGTGGAGAGAGAACTCCGGTCTGCTGATTTACTCCTCAAATGCCGAAAATGGCAGGGGCTTGGCCAAGGCCAAAGCCACAAGCCAGGAAAGCAAGTTGGGTCTCCCACCCTGGGGGAAAGAACACAAATGCTTGAGGTGTCACCACTGCCTTCCAGAATCTACACTGGTGGGAAGCTGAAGTCAGCAGCTGCGGGGTGGGACCTGGCCGTGTCCACCCTGAAACTGTATGCTGATGGGACTTCCAAGGAAGGCTGACACTCTAGGACTCAGCTAACACAAAGTGCTTTTCTCCGTTCGTCTCGAATTTGCTAAACAAGGGAGAGGGAAGCAGAGGCTCCTGTGGTCACCCTCATTGACTCTCTGGCTTCAGTTAAGGGAGTGAAGGTGAGATGCTTTTCAATGCAGTTTCAGTTTCGTTACATCTTTGAAATGTGATTTATCCTTGCTCCCTAACTTTCTAAAATACATTTGGGTAAGGTGTTTCTAGTATGGTTAGAGTAACCTCCCCGTCTTCTGCCTCTTCCCGCACCTGCTGCACTGGGTTCTGTGGGCAAATAGAGCAAACACTCCTGGGCCTTGTGGGTGTCCTCTTGGAGTCATTCTAAGGTGGTTCTTACCAAGAGCTTCCAAAGTTCCATGCTCGGATTCTGTGAGAAAGAAAAGAAAGGTGAATGGACTGTGGGTCTCAGAACTGGCAAGAGTTCTGGAATGCCCTGTGCTGGCTGGCAAGGCCCACAGATACTTCCTGTCCAGGACCGTGATGGCCTACAATGAGTCTTACACGGGACTGCTCCAAAAAAATAAAATCTTTAGGCCATCGCTGTGTCGAAAGGAAAGATCTTTGTTTCCAAGACTTGTTGAAACACAAACTTCTTAGCTCAAATGCACAATCAGGACAAGCCCAAGATGTTTATGCCATGGCCTTTACTGTGCCAGAAACTGGGCTGAGGGGCAGGCTCAGAACAGAAGAGAATGTGCCCTGGCTCTGGCATTTGGCAGGAAGTTTGTGATTTTCAACGAAAACACAAAAGGCAACAAAGAGTTATATGTTGGGTTAACTGGATGGTCAAAAGGTCTGATTCAAGGTACTAAGCAGCTGTCATTTGTGCTGCTCTCCTCCTGGGATTTGGCTTTTCAGCAAGATGGGAGCAGGGCAGAGGCTCTGGAGGTTGAGAGGAGAGCTGAGATTCACGGTGGAAATATCTTGGTTTCCCAGGGAATAGAGACATTAAGTAAGAAAGTTATATTCCGGTCATCTACAATTGCATCTTCTCAGTTTAAAACATTCAATTTATAATGTGTAGCAATGATAACACGTATTTGGGTGTTTTCTATGCCTGAGCACTCTCCCAGGTGTTTTATGAATATTTTTAACAACACCACCCCACAACCCCATCATTTTATGAGCTCTGCTGCTATTTACAAGAGAGGAAAGAAATTGAAAAAACTTGTCCACATTCACAGGCAAAATCAACGACCAGTTAGCCTGGAATCCCCCAGGTCTTCCTGGATTCAAATCCCATCTTCCCACGCTGAGACTTCATCAGGCATATGAAGGGTTTTCAGAAAATTCTGGAAAAATTTATACTACATAAAAAGCTATGCATGACTCTCAACATTTTTTTTCATCAAAATAAATTTACTTTAAAAAAAGTTTCAGCTTCTAATTTCATTTCCCACAAGCTGAAGGCCCCTCACACAGATCAAAAAAAATAGACGCAGACATCCAAAGCACTAAAAAGTTCTCGAATTCTACCTTAACACCCGGGTATGCTTTAGTGGAAATACTGGAGTAGTGGGTGCAAAGCTGTTTACCAAGAATAAAAGGAAGGAGCACTGGCTTCTCGCCTAACTATTTTCATGTGATAGGAGTTATCTTTATAAAATGAATATAAAATTACACTTTCACTGTATATTTCACAACTTCATCCAGCAGCAATAAAAAAATTAGAACTGAAATTCAAAACCACTAGTGCTAAGCATCAAAATGTACATAAAAGAACATTTAAAAAGACATTTGTAGTTAATAAGGATTATCTTGAAGCTATTTGTTGTTTGGTAGTATTGCCACATTTCCATTTGTTAATGAAAGTGGGAAAATTAAGCAATAAAATATTTTACTGTTTTCCTCAAAGCCACAAGATAGCAAAGTGACTGAAATGCTACAAGTGTTTTTTTCTTTTTTTTTAATTTCCAAAGTAAGTAAAAATTTCCATAAGAAACCAGATAGGGGATAAACATTACGACCAAAATAGAAATAAACCTGCTTTTTACGGAAAGGTAGGGTTAGGGTTAGAAAGCTTGATGAATCCAAGCCCAGACCATTGTGTGCTCACTGTGCATATTCAAACCTCATTGAACAATAATAAAGCACAACTACCTGAAGTGCCAACTCTCAATACAAACATTAAGAAATACAGGTAGTAGTCCTCCTGCATCCACTGTTCAGAATCCTACTGGCAGTCACGCTTTTAGCGATAAATTGGCTAGCAACTTGTCCACAGAAAAGTTTTGACTCTCAAGTCAAGCATGATGATAGAAGACGCTCAGCTCAGAGGCCCTTTATCAGCAGCTGGACTGCATTAAATAGAGCAAAGGCTCTTGTCTGAATTTTAACCATTGTGGATCATGGTTCCCCGCCCTCCAAGATCCCCCTCCAAGCTTATTATCAGGTATGGACGACATGGGTGTGAGGCATCCTCCATAGTACCTGCTCCAGATAGGATGGCGGCGTGGAGGTGCAGCAGCCAGAGCAGCAGGGCCAGGCAGCCCATGGTGGGAGCTCCCGGGTCCTGGGAACCCTGCAGGCTCTGCTATATATACTCTGCAGCCTTCCCGGGGGAGGCAGGTAGGTGCAACCCGATGCTCTTCTCAGGTGTGGGTTGGCAGGTGTTCAGAGTGGGGACAGCTCATTTGCTGTGTAAGATGCACTGACTCTGCCTATGTAAGGCATTCTATGGAACAGGTGGAAAATTAAAATAAGAGAGAAGATAGAACTTGTTCTGATACCTGGCTGGGCATGTGGGACCCCCTAGCCCCTTGTGGGGAGAGAAGCTGAAAGAAGGCCCAGATCTTTCTGGAGGCACGTTGCCTTCAGCATTTGGTCACTTCCACTGGAAGAAATCTCTGAGACTCTGCTCATTTTTCAGTGCCTACACTGGGCCTTTCGTTTCCTGGAGTTTTCCCAACTGCAGGTACCTACCCCATTTGCTAATTCCCACCTGTCCTCTTGGTGCCCCTTCATGACATTCCATGTGTTCTACCTGGCTTCCCGTTTGTTGTTTAAGTCCAAGTTCCTACATTAGCTTACAAAGCTTTTCAAGGGAAGGACTGCTCTTTATATTTTTATAGACTTAACTATAATATCTTTTATTTAAAACATAGTTATCCTTCTACCTAACTATGTGCTGTGCTGAACTGGGCCGTACCCATGGATCTGCTGTTCGTCCAGTTACTGCTTCTCTAGCAGGTTTCTCTTTATTCGGGTCAGCCATCAGCTCATAGTAGCAGATCACCCCATAATCTCACAGCAGTCTACTCTTTCTTGAGCCGGGCAGGCAGCAGACTTTCAAGGGAGAACACACTTCAGGAGCATGTATCTGCACCACTGTGTCTGGAACAAGGAAGGAGGCAAGAAGGCTGTGCACACGCAGTGGGCTCTGTGTTGTAGAAGTTATGGAAGACCACCTGCCACTGGGCAGCTCCCTCTGTTGACCACCATGTCCACCAGGAAGCAGTTCTGGCTTTCTTTGTTGGAGGAAAGCCAGTGGTCAGCCAGGTTCGCTCTTGGTCATGATGGCAAAGGGGAGTCGTGAGCAGAAGGGGGTGGGAGCTGGACTTGACCTTGGAGGCTTTGGGTCTTATTCCTTCCTTTGTGGTTCAGGGCAAAAACTAAACTTCACTGGCTGTTAGTTCCCTCAAATGAAAAATAGGACTTCTAACTAGATGAGTGTCCTCCAAATATCCCCAATTTGGGGTCTGGCACTGTAACCTAGTGGCTAAAGTCCTTGCTTTGCATGTGCCAGGATCCTATATCAGTGATGGTTCTAATTCCAGCGGCCCCGTTTCCCATGTATCTCCCTGCTTGCTGCCTGGGAAAGCAGTAGAGGATGGGCCAAAACCTTGGGACCTTGTACT